TAGATTGATGGATGAGTTTTATATCTAATCAGATATATATTATCATTAATAAATAGCTGATTATTTCATATCTATTCATGGAAGGAAGGGAGAAGGGTGTATGGGCCAGAGATAGATATATAGATCGGCAGATAGATAGATAGACTGAGAGAGAGAGAGAAAAAAAAAGAGAGAGACACTTATGTAAGTATATGTGGAAGCACATACAGACACACGTATATATATGTGTGTGTGTGTGTGTATTTGTATGTGCGTGTGTGTGTGTGTGTGTATCTGTATGTGCGTGCGTGCGTGTGTGTGTGTGTGTGTTCGTGTGTATGTGTGTGTGTGTGTGTGTGTGTGTGTGTGTGTGTGTGTGTGTGTGAGAGAGAGAGAGAGAGAGAGAGAGAGAGAGAGAGAAAGAGAGAGAGACTTATGTAAGTACATGTAGGAACACACACACACATATGTGTTGTGTGGTTTTCACGACTTCGCCGGCGCAGAGCGAGGCCGAGCGCGAAGGCGTGGCATGAGCAGGGAGGCTCTCGTCCCTCAGCAGCCAAAGACACAAGACGGCGGGTACGAGTCCTGTGCCATGTATACACGAAATGAAAGGGCGACGTGGCAACCCTTTCCACACTTACGCTATGAAGCCTCCGTGGTGCCCGCCGAAGCCTCCGCCTCCGAAGCCTCCGCCACCGAAGTGATGCCCGCCTCCGAAGCCTCCGCCTCCAAAGCCTCCGCCTCCGAAGTGATGCCCGCCTCCGAAGCCTCTTCCGCCGTGGAACCTCCCGCCTCGGAAACCCCTTCTTCCACCGCCGAAACCTCCACGACGGAAACCACCTCCACCTCCGAAGCCCTTGTTGATAGCGAGCGAGCCCTTCAGGTTGACACTAAGGCCTCCTCCGCCGCCGCCGCAGAACTTCCCTCCGCATGCCGCTGGGTCTGCCGCTGGGTCTGCCGCAGGCTTTGCCGCAGGGTCGGCCTCGGGCTCCGCCTCCGCCAGGCACAACGAGGCTACCGCGCCCACAAGCAACTGGAAGGAATTTCTCGATAAAAGGCCTGGGCACGGTAAGGCACGGACAGATTTGAAAGCAAAGTTGGAAATGCCGTTTGGGTAAAAAGGACATCGATGCGTCGCTTTCTTCTCTGACGCTGAATTCCAGAGAGGTCTTTGTGATACATATAGGCTTACACACCGTATGCACATATAAATAAGAGCCTTTTTTTTTATAGCATCCTGAAACTCCTAACGCTTTGATACACGTGTGATGTTGCCTCGTGGTCGCTACAAAAGTTTTTACTCCTTGAAAAGATAAGTCGTTTTACTTTAATCTAATAAAACAAAGCCAACCGAAAAGTATGAAAATAGTTAATATAACAAAGCCAACAGAAAAATAGGAAAATAGTCAATATGCTGGTATAATATTCATTTACAAGCAAAACATCATGGAAGCTTCAAATTAAATGGAAAAAGTGCCTGACTACTCTGCATCTTATTCTGTTTAAATATGTATTTCTCAAAATCAGACATTTTTCTCTTTATTAACCGCCGGGGAAAATGAACAAAAAATGGGGAAAATGCTGTGCCTTTTTTCTATACTTTTATGTTAAATATCTGCCCATAGATGGCTCTGTTAGCGCCTGATTTGAAATGGCGGGAAAAACGTATTTTTCACTAGTGCCATGAATATCGATAAAAATAAAAATAACACTTCTATCATAAACATTGTAATTTTTATAATGTTTTTTAACATTAGTAACAGCAAAATAAGATAACGTAAAATATTTCGTAAATCAAAGAAAAAGGTGAACGGGCGAGACAGGCGGTACTCGTAACTGGCTCATTGGTGATTTAGTACAAGTGTAGCCATCTATGTGTGAAAACAATCTAACAAGTAATCTCACAGTGGCCATGGCATGGCATGCCCGGCGGGAATGGGTTAATACTTCCATTGTTTTTCGCAGTAAAAGTGGAAGCATGTATCCACCACGAGTGAGCTCCAGTCTCAGTCAATTGGATTATTCCAATGCCTTAGTGCCTATAACATACGCAAATACACGCACACAAACGACATGTCCAACATCCCAACACCATCCCACTAAAAAAATAAACACAACCATACACACGCATACATACCCCACTGACACACACACATACATACACCCCCCCCTACACACACACACATACATCCCCCTATTGCGCATATACATACACCCCCCAATTACTACATACACACACACACACACATACATACATACATACACTCCCCCTACACACACACATACACCCCTCCTACCACACACACACACATACACCCCCCTACCACACACATACACCCCTCCTACCACACACACACATACACCCCCTCCTACCACACACATACATACACCCCCCTACTACACACACACACACACACACACACACACACGCAAAACAAAACAAACTATCCTTCTTCTCACCAAGGAAAGAGCCAACTTCATCAGGTCTCGTGTTAGCAGCGTCTTAACCGAAGGGAAA